TGTAAAAATGTATAAAAATTCAAAGTGTTCACTTAAAATGGGTTCATTTTTAATGTAGTTAAACTATATTTCAGTACAATCAATTGAAAACATAGACCAAAGAAATATAATAAAAGATCCATAAACAGAGCCTTATAAATATGTATGCTCAATTCAGGACAATGGTGGTTCAGCAAACAGCAGCAGGGTATGCTGCATGATCTTTAAAAAAAGAAAAGGGAATAGGACTATTGGATCTAAATCTTAAAAATGAAACAAAGTTCCTACAACCGGAAACATTTTCATCATTTTGGTAAAGCAAAGTTTCTTAAACAAGACCTAAAAAGCACTCACCAAAAACAGAAAGACTGATTAGATGGACATTAAAAATAAGAACATCTGTTCATTCAAAGACCCTTTCAAAGAGTGAAAAAGTCAGTGTGAGAAACATCTGCAAAACACAGAATAAATGACTAGTATACAGAAGACAAACACGATGTTTGCAAACCACTAAGAAAACTACTAACAATCCAAGAGAAAAATGGACATGATTTGTGAACAAGCACTTCAAAAAGGTTAATATCCAAATGGCTGATAAACAGGAAGAAGTGTTCAGGAGCTTTAATTATTAGAGAAATAGAAACTAAAACCAGAATGAGATACTATCACATACCTCCAAAAGAAGTAAAAGGAAAGACACAGCAAATGCTGCAAAGGGTGTGAAGCACCTGGAACTCCTGTACACTGCTGGTGAGAAGGGTAAACTGGTTTAATCCTTTGGAAGATACATTTCCCTGTGACCCAACAATATTCACTGCCAGATGTATATAGCCTCCAACAAAATTATAAATACAGGCACAAGATACGTACAATATTCTGCACACAGGAGGATGTGTGTACAAATAGCACAACTGTATGTAATAGCCCTATATGAGGAACAAAATGTACAAGAATAGAATCAATAAAATGTGGGACATTCATCCAAATGTGGGATATTATGATATGATGATAAAAATGAATTAACTATTAGCACATGAAATAACAGATGAATCTCACAATGCTTGAAAGAACATACACTGTCTAATTCCATTTATAGAATTCAAAATTATAGCTTTAGAAGTTTATTTAAAAATACCAATCGCTAGCCAGGCACAGTGGCATGTGTCTATAATCCCAGCTACACCAGAGGATGAGGCAGAAAGATGGCAAGTGCAAGACCAGCCTCAACTTTAAGATAATGGTTTAAAAATAACCAAGAAAAAGAAAAGAACTAGAGTAGTAGCTCAGTGGTAGAGGGCTCCTGGGTTCAATTTTCAGTACTAAAAAAGCAAAAAACTGCTAAGAAGTACTGAATGTTTACTGTATGTTAAGTATCATTCCAAGTAAGTTTTGTATTTTAACTCAATATTCACAAAAACCTTTTAAGAAAGATGTCACAGAGTATTCCTAAATGAGCAAATTAAGTAACAAAGTGGTTAAATAACTTGCTCAAGTCCACAGAGCAACTTGAGTGTTAAAGCTGGGAGGTGAAGACACTTTGGTTTGAGGGCCTGTCTCTTTTTTTTGGTGGTGGTGTTGGGGATCAGAACCCAAGGCCTTGTGCATGCAAGGTAAGTACTCTACTACCTGAACTACATCCCCAGCCCAGGGCCTTACTGTTAACACTAAGCTATCAGTGTAGTTCAATGACAGAACTTTAATGCAAAGATAGAGAAGGGCAAATGTTCAGGTGCTGGGAAGAGGAGAAAGGTCAAATTCTCACATTCCAAAGGAAAAAAATCAGTAGATATTGCCTAAAACTGATTGGGGGTGGAGGGAGGGGAGAAGAAGAGATCTACCAGTCACATATTACAAAAAAAAAATCTGGAGGAAAGACCAGAAAAAATAGTTGATTTTCATGGCAACAGTGGTTGTCTCTAGGAAATGGGTCAGAATCGAATGGGGACAGTCATATTTCCTTAAAAGCCCTGTGTCACCATCTCATATGTTTTAAAAACCACATACACATTGCTTTGATAAAAATAAAGTAAAAAAGACTGAAATATTTGAAAAATAACAAGTTACCACTTATTGAGCCCCAATGTTACTGGTTTTTGCAAAAACCTTTAGTGCACTCTCTCATGGAATCTCCTAACAATAGTGAGGTCCTAGCATTACCCTTCTTTTGCTGATTAAGAGTCAACTATCCAGGGCTCATTGATTAGTAAGTGGCAGAGCTACAGTCCAGGGAGACCACAGGCGTGAGACCCACACTAATAAGAGAAGATGAGGCCTTTAATAATTGGGATATTTAGGTGGTGGCCTGGACAGGAGCTAGTGACAGTGAGTTAGGAGGGGACATGAGGATGCCCGTGCATGTGTGTAACGAGAGGGTCGAAAGGGATGGAGTCCTAGCATTAACAATCACAGATATTTATTGCACACTTCCTGTGTCCATTGTGTCAAGAGACTGAATGAATGTTTGCTAACCACCCCACGGTGTAGGCAGGACTAGGACCTCCCTACACCCAACAGGGTGGCTCAAGTGAAGGGCCTAATTCAAGTTCAGCACAGCATAGTTCTTCAGGGCCCAGGCTCTTCCCCACTATACAAAACACTTGGGCCATTAAGGAAGAACCCAAATTTAGGAGGAGTGAAAGATTTAGGAGTAGAAGTGGGACAGATACTGAGTTTTGTGTGAGAATAGGTCCAAATCATGGGTTGGCGATATGGGCCAAGGAAAAGGTTAGAGAAATTGACTTTGGGTCATATTACCCAGAGGAAGGCCAGCTGTGAAAGGGGAGAGGAGGATTTCGGGAAGATACGGGAGCCAGGACACAGCTCCTCATCAGCAGGAGAGGCCAGGAGACAACAGTGAGTAGTATGTCCACAGGCAGAAGAAGGGAACTAGGGAAGACAGAGGAGTTTCACTCCAAGAAATTGGGGATGTGTTTGCAATGCTGGATCTGCCCCATCTCTGGGGCCCAGGGTGGCCTAGAGGCCTGGTCCTTGCTGTCTTAGCAGCCCCTCTGGCCACCTTTCCAGTTTTTGCTTGGTCCTGCCATTCTAGCCTTCCAACCCTTCCTCTCAACCTGCTCAGCCCTCCCAATGTGTGGTTCCAGCTTTCTTCTACTTACTGTCCCTCACATCAACTGGTACACTTCTTTTCTTTAAATACTCGATTTTTTAAAAAAAAATCTTTTTAAGGGAGGGACAGGAGGGCGAAAGACCTACTGGTTTGGTAATTAATGGTGATCAATACCCACAGAAGGCTGTTTTAATGGCGTGGTGGGTTAGAATTGATGAGATGACAGTGGCTATGGAGAGAACAGCAGCCGAGGAGTTACATGCTTTGAGCAGCAGGGCCAGGCAACTGTGTCCTTGTAGTGGAGGCGGGTGGATGGGGAGCTTGTTTGCAGGCTGTGACAAGAATGTAGGGGAAGCAGAAGAAAGTGATGAAGAGGTGGGCTACCAGAGCTCCAGGGTGTGTTGGGGTTGGTCATGAGGGAAGAAGCTACCTTTTGAGGCTAAGAAAAAAGAAACAAGGAAAGGGAGCAAGAAGGAAATGAGGAGAAAGAGAAAGCCTTGGCTTCTTCTTTCCTGGTGGAGAAGAGATGAGATGGCTTGGGGCCACAAATATGTGGCACAGAGGAGCCGCTGATGACAGGGAGAGGGGAAGTCAGCACTAGCCACACTGAGGCCCATGAAACTGTACCTTCATTTCTTCTCTCCTCATTCAGGACTAACCAAGATGGTTCTGTGTTTTGGGCTCTGACTCAGTGTGAAGTATGTCACTCTCTGAATCATCAGCAATACTTGATATCACTTCCTATCACTTCACTTTCTTGTGCAGGTAGTGACAGGCAGGCCCCGAGGAGGGTGAGGTCATGCTTTAAACATGTGCACATACCCAGTTCTTGCTTGAAGGATACTGAAAGGCATTTTAACTGCAGAAAGAGTGGTGGATTTCATTCTCATGACCTCAAATGTTTAACAAAGTTTAACAAAGCAGACATGAACTGACAAAAGGAGTTTTTAGTTTCTCAGGGGATAATCAGATGGCAATTCCCTTCATGGACTGGTAACATATCTTTTCTTTGAAGCAGAAAATGATCTGTATAGAGCACAAAACCGTATTTTACCTTAAAGATGAGCTCCACAGAACTTTTCTTTAAATGGAGGAAACCATTTGATTGGTGGGCGTTTGACAATAAAAATAGAGCACAGCAGCTGTTTAGTTTTACAAGCCTAATGTAATATTAAAACCTATAAAACAGCCAGTCCGAGTGGTGCATGCCTGTAATCTCAGCTATTAGGGAGGCTGAAGCAGGAGGATGGCAGCTTTGAGGCCAGTCTGGGCAATTCAGCAAAACCCTATCTCAAAATAAAATATAAAAAGAACCAGGGGTATAGCTCAGTAGTAGAGCACCCCTGAGTTCAAGCCCCAGTACCAAAAAAACAAAAACAAAGCTACTACAAAATACTTCTCACATTAAATATTAGTACTGTGACACTTAATACTCTATCTCCAAAACACCAGAGGCCTCACATCTCAACATTAATTTATTAATGCATCATTACTAACAGCACAGGAATGTATGAGAAGGGTTTGGACCCCATCCTGCTGCTGTTAAAGGACTAAAACCATCTGAGTATTTTCTAATTGATAGGGCTAAAAGAATGGTACCAGGACCTGTTTTCATTTGCCTTCTTTCAAGATGCAATTCTTGATATTTATGGACTTCTGTGTGTGTGTGTGTGTGTGTATACATATAAATAAATGGCTTCTATGTCTATTCTAACAATAAGCAAGATTCAAATTTCTATTTTTTTACTTTGAAGTTTTCACTCCCAAGACTTAAGAAAATATATTCCTAAAATACACCAGACCTCATGGTACTCTTTCAAATCCTGGAGATGTTGAGGATCAGCAACTCGGAATTCCCTGAGGCAGCAGGGGCTACACCTGTAACACATTTTTTTTGTATGGAAGAATTTCCTAAGTGCCTTTAGATGTGTATTAATTAAGCTTAATCTCTTACCCTATTGTTGGGTTGATGTTCGGATCAAAACTGTCTTCCACAAACCGCCACACGATACTGGATTTGCCTACACCTGTATCCTGAAAGAGAATGAGATGTGCAACTAAGAAAAAGTGAACCTGCTTGCAAGTGCAAAAATCAACTTTATGGTATAAGTTCAGGATTTCAGAAAAATAATATTAGATGTGTATCAAATTTTGTAAGTTGAGGGGCACAAAAGAGGTTTTCATAAAAACTTAAATAGGAGAGTTCAAATGTGTCATAGGGGAAGTGTTTTGCAGTTTTTAAGACATCAGGACCTTTGAACCACTTGAAGTTTCTGCTTTATGTGAAAAGTGACACACTTGCTTTTTCCAACATGTATTTGTAAACTCTGAGCTCCTGAATTAGTTGAGTATCCCTGATGAATCCTGTCCCCACCCTATTCCAAGGGCAACAAAGCCTAGTTGTGGGAACTCTTTTTCATCTTCAAAGCAGAAACTCAGGAAGGAGAGCATCAACCTCAGACGACTCTGAAAGGGCCAAAGTACCCTGACAAGACAGGAAACCCAAGCTGCACGCTCGCCTTTGGGGTTTCCTGGTTTGAACACCCCCTCTCCGTGGGAAGAGTTACTTCGCGAAGTAACTCTGCAAGAAGTGTCAGGGTGTCCCACGAGTTCAACCGACGGGAAGGAGGCCAGTGCTGCTGGTCGACCTCCAGACCTGCGGGCTTCCCTGGGGGGGGGGGGGCTGGCCGCTCCCACCCTGCACTAGCCACCCCCGGCGGGCAGCCTGCGCCCCGGGGAGGGGGTCCCCGTGGGTCCTCGCGCCCGGGCTTCGGCAGGGCGCGGTCAGGTGGCGAGTGGCCCGGGACAGCGCGGGGTGGAGGGGCCGCGGGCGCCGGGGACCCGCCCGCCCGGCCTCCCGCGGCCTCCCGGCGGGGCCTGCCACCACTCACCCCCAGCAGGCACACTTTGAGCTCCCTCAGAGCCATGGCCTGGGAGCCCCGGCCGCGGGCCCGCCGCCGCCCTAAGTTGAGGGAGAGGCCCGGCCCAGCACGAGCATCCCCCGGCGCTGCCGCCGCACGGCCTGGCCCCGGCCGCGGGGCACTCAGAGGCGGCGGCCGCTTGTAAGCCGGCCCTCGGCCTGGCCCGCCTGCCGCCAGCCGCGCGGAGCCGCCTCAGCAGCCGGGACGCCGCCACGGCCTCCGGGACGCCACCGTCGCCGCCATCTTGGGACGCCGGCCGGGTCACCTGACCTCCCCGCCCACCTCGGCAGCCACCTTCGCCGCGAGGGCGGGGCGGCCGGGGCGGGGCCTGGGGCGGGGCCTGGGGCGGGGCCTGGGACGGTGGCCCCGCCCCCGACCGGCTCAAGATGGCGAGCGAGCGGGCGGTCGCGGGCTGCCGGCGGTCCCCGCCCCTACCGCCCCGCCCAGCTCCGGGGGTGTGTCCCAGCCCGCCCGGGTCCTCGCGCTCTGCAGGCTGGCAGGACGACTGGACTCCGGTGAGTACCGCCGCGCCCCCCCCTCCGCGGGCCACCTGTGGCGCCCGCCCGCCAGGAGGAAGGGCTCCCTTCCGGCCTCGCCCGCCTCCCCGCGCTCCGGGCGCGCCAGCACCGGGTCCCGCCCCCGGCCCTGGGAGTCCCGGGCCCCCTCATTTCTTGGGTGGGACCCTCCACTGTCCCATCCTGCCAAGAACTCTCCTTTTCTTTGGAGAACTTTGAGGCTGCTGGGGGGAGGGATTCGTGGTATGTGAAGCCTTAACTTTCTGTCCGTTCTCTTGATTCGCGCCGGTTGTGGTTCTGCACGGCCCAGGTGGACCAGAAAGAGCTGCCGCTCCGCGGGTCTAAGCCGGGCCACACGGGTATGCTACAGGTGGCCTCCACACCAGGGGTGCTGGGGGTGAGGAAGGCACGTGTAAATCGCCAAAATAGCTCCCTGTGGTGTGGGCCTTCGGGATCCTGGTCAGGGAGGAAACTACCCCTCTACCCTTACCATCTGCAGATTTCCTACCAAGAGCTGGTCTTGACTGAAAGGCTTCCACAGACCAGGCAGTGTTAAATCTTACACCCGTTCCCTCTATAGAGAGGGCAACTTTAGGGCTGGGGTTGTGGCTCAGTGGTAGAGCGCTTGCCTAGCATGCAAGAGGCACTGGGTTCCATCCTCAGCACCACATAAAAATAAGATAAAGATACTGTGTCCACCTGAAACTAAAAAATAAATATTAAAAAATTTAAAAAAGAGAGCAACTTCATTGAAGCAGCAGCACACTTGAAGGGGCGATAGAAGTAAGTGGGGAGCTCACTCTCTGGAGTTATATGGACCAGGATGAAAACCTTACTCGCTATTTACTAGCAGTGTGATCCTGGGCCAGTTAGTGTACCACTGCAAGAGCTCATGACCATATTTGAAATTGGGCATCATAGCAGCCCACCTCAGAAGACTTGTGAGAATTGAATGTATAAAGGGTTTAATATGAAGCCTGTATGTAATAAACACTCAGTAAATATTGGCTGCCATTATGGTTATTAATATGAGCATTACTAACATTTAACTTTCTTGAGCCAGGTACAGTTTAAACCTGGGTTCTAAGAGCTGAGTAGTTTTACCTGTGGGCATCCTCAAGTCAAAGGAATGTATCATTTCCCTGGTACATGATGGTGAGTTGCCATCAAGGTGCCTTTCATTCATAGATTTGATGTTTGGCCTAGCAGGAAAAACTTTTCTACCAGTTTCAGTTGTCTAGCCAACCCAAATCTCAGCAGCTTAACCCCACAGCATTTTATTATTTCTTTCATTCTCTGGTTTGACTGGGTGGTACTCCTGCAAGGACCTGAGTTCTCCAGGTGATGTTTCTGCTTGGCTTGGTTGGCCTTCTCATGGTGTGGTGGCCACAGGGAGTTGAACTTTCTTGCTGGTGGCTAGTTTCCTTCAGTCTTTTTTTATGTATTTATATGTGTAAAAGGGAAGTAAAAGAGTACAAAGGAAAAATTATGATTTCTCTTTGGCCTTATTTGAACATAAGTATTGGGTGTTTGAGACTTATAGTAAAAAAAGGCTCATATACTCTTTAGCAGATGGCTGAAGACTTGCCCCAGTAAGGAAGTAAACCATCATATGGCTCTGAACATAATCATTCCTCAGATAGGACAACTTTGGGAGTCTCTTCTGGCTTCTTGTTTGGATAGGGGTGGGAGCTATAAGGTGCTGTGCCTTATGACTTCGGAGTATAGTGAATCTAATAGCCGGTAGTAGGAGGTCTTCCCCTACCCCTCAACTTATTTTTTATTTTCATTTATTTGTATTTTTGGTTTAGTATTTTTGATCTTTTTAATTTTCTTATTTTTTCCTTTTAGATATACATGACAGTAGAGTGTATTTTGACATTATACATACCTGGAATATAACTTATTTCTAATTAGGATCCCATTCTTGTGATTGTACATGATGTGGCATTTCACTGGTGGTGTAGTCCCTCAATTCGTGCTGCCTTGTGTCTTATACTTGATGGTTGGAGTATTTGGGTGGCATTATCACACGGATTGACACCAAGAACTCTGAAGCCCTACTACCCTTTCCTGGCTTTCCCATAACCTGTAGCTGGGTTGGCTTGGGTGGATCACTCGCCCAGTCTGTTTATTTCTCCTCCTCCTCCTCCTCCTCCTCCTCCTCCTCCAGGAATCAGGGATTGAAATCAGGGGTGCTTAACCACTGAGCCACATTCCCAGCCCTTTTTCATATTTTATTTTGAGATAGACTCGTGAGTTGCTTAGGGCCTCACTAAGTTGCTGAAGCTGGCTTTGAGCTTGTGGTCGTCATGCCTTAGCCTCCCAAGCCGTTGGGATTACAGGCATGTGCCACAGCACCTGGCCTTTTTAATTTCTTTGGAAAATGGCATGATAGGTGCTGTATCCTAGTGTTGGCTTGAGGATTAGATGATATAGTACACATAAAACATTGTGACCCAATGCCTGGCGTAGTGGGTATTCTGTTCAGTAGTGGGTATTCTGTTCAGCTGCTACTATGTGAGGTATTTTGGATTACCTGAATTTTAAATGAAAAAAAAAAAACAAACTGAGAATTAGACTAAATAACTTATCTAGTATGGCACAATTTGTAAATGGTAGAACTAACAATCAAATTCTGTTCCTTCTGACTCTTGTTCTTTTTATTCCATTGTGCAGATCAGTTTCACAAATATTCTTTTAGAAATTTTTTTTTTTTTTTGGAATAGGATATTTTTCTGTTGCCCAGTCTTATCTTGAACTCATGGACTACAGTGATCCTCCTACCTGAGCCTCCAAGTAGCTGGAAATGTCAGCACACACCACCACAACTCGCTATAAAGACTTAACCCAGTGATTGGGGGATAGGTGTCAGTTTGGGTGGTACTGTGTCTGTTGTCCCCTTGGGCACTTTTGTTTAAATGATGCAATGCTTCTTGGTTTAGACTGTAAGTCCCTTCCAGCAGGGATGTAGGTCATCCTTTTTTATAACTCAATGTGCTGCATGATCTAGGTGCTCAATTAATGTTGTTATGTTAACAATAATGGGTCCCTAGGTGTGGTTGATTTACTTTGTGATTCTTGATTAAGTTTGGTTAATTCATAAAAGAGACCATAATGAATGGGTGCCTTGTTTTTTTAAATCATTCAGAGTCTTCGGGCCATCACAGCAATGAAAAGATTTAATTTTAGGGAATTGGCTTGCTGAAGCGATCTAAATTCCTTCTCTGGAGAGCAGAAAGTGTGGGGGGATGGCCTAGCATATTGGTTTTCAGGTAGCACTGCCTGTGGAAGGTGGAGCTCAAGAGTCAGCCTAAGGGGCTGAGGGTCTGTGAATGTTAGGGTTGCTTATAACATGTGAAGGCTGAAAAAGTATTATTGTTGGTAAGGTTTGCTTGTCCAACTTAGAATTTAATGGATGAACAAAAGTGGGTGGGGGGAAAAAAAACCATGAAAGGAATCTATTGCAAATCTAGAGACCTGAGAGACTTGTCAACAAAATATAATATGTAGTTGCTATGGTTTGGATCTAGAATGTCCCCAAAGGCTCATATATCAAAGGCTTGGTCTCCAATTCAGCAATGTTCGCAAGTGGGGCTTTTAAGAAAATGATTGGATCATGAGACCTCTAACCTCGTCTGTGGGTTAATCTGTTGGTGGATTTGTAATTTGAATGGACTACTTGGAGTTTGTAGAGACTGTAGGAGTTGTAATAAGGGGGGGGGGGCTTTAGGGACTTTATCTTGTCCCCAGCCCTTCCCTCCCTCCCTCTCTTCCTCTCTCTCTCTCCCTCTCTCTCTGCTGCTGTAAGGTGAGCAGTTTTCCTCTGCCATGTCCTTCTGTCATGATGTTTTGACTTTGGAACCAGCCATTCAGAACTGAGACCTCTGAAAGTGTGCGTCAAATATATCTTTCCTTTTCTCAGGCACTTTGTGCTAGTGGAGGAAAGCTGACTGACGCAGCAGTCGTGTTTGGACCCTTGGTTGCACTCTCCAGGGAAGGAAGTCGTAGAGATAGCTGGAGAACACTGAGCTTGAGACTGGGTATTGGTAACAAGAATTCTTGTTAATTTTGTTGGGTGTGATAATGGGTGCTATTTTTTTATTTGTTGGATGTGATAAAGGTGTTATCCAAAACAAACAAGCCTTCATGAGTGAAATGATTTGATGTGTGACGTTTGCTTTTAAATGCTGCAACAAATATTAAATAAAAGGTTGGGAGAAGGGGTCATGGAAAAAAATGGCTGAATGTAAAAGCTATTGCTGGGGACTAGCCTCTCTATTTTTACATGTTTAAAAATTTTCTAAGAGATGTTTTAAAAATGAGGAGCATCACATGATCAAGCACCAGCAAGGGAATTGGAAGTGGACTTTAATTCTGAAGTCATTATAGAGTTATAGGTGCATCAGCTTCAAAAGAACTGCTCATAAAAACATTAGTATTTGGGGGAATGAGTGTTTCTTTTCAAATGCTTAGTTTTCAAAAGGTATCTGTGAAAGAGCTTGGAAGAGGGCATACTATGTATAACAAAAGCCAGGTGCCAACTGATATCTGGAGCCCTGGTGAAAACAGGCT